TTTCACGACGCCAACAACGTGAGCGGAGTGGGAGGAAACTAATGAAAGAAAGTTGGGAAATTTGTTTATTAAGCTTCTAGGGCATTAACATTCAGAACATGAAGGTCTTGGCAACCACGCCAGAGTCAACAAGGACCGGTACAAGAGGCTGCAACGGTAGCCTCAGGAGTGCGTTTAGCAGACTTCAGTAATGCGTTGTTGGTGTCATCCCAATTATATCTATCGTTATCAATAAATACGTGGTCCAAACGAATCCGGACATTAGAGCCATTGTTCCGGAAAGTAGAAGACGCGTCCCACATTTTTTTTTTTCCGAATTGAACGCCCGTGAGGAGAGAAATCTTCCGATATACGAAACTCCGAGCCTTTATGCGTGACAAAGTTCTTCAGAGCACGAAGTCTTTCACGAAAATCTAACAACTTAATAATGACGGGGCGTGAACGAGCGTCCTGTCTTAATTCTACCAAGTCTATGACACCTTTCCATTTGCGGGCAATTCATTGCCAGTTTCTCCGAGAAAAATTTCGAGATAGGCCGGACATCAGCGCTTCATTATTTTCAAAGCTGTATGTTGGGCTAGTTGGTATTGGTCTTGGGTTGCCAAAGGCATGATAGCGCTTTTTTGGACGAGGACAAAAGAAAGAAAGACAAGACAGACACGAGCGCTGACTGCAACTATTTAATCAACATGGAAATGAGGCATATATACACGCTTCGATCCTATCAATCAACCAACCCCAGGCCTAGCCGCCACTTGCATGAACTGCACCTCCTTATCGAAAAGGTCGATAGATGCAACGCTGACACACCCCAGCCCTGCCCTTTTTATTGTTCTTAAATGTTCTTCGTTGGATCCATGTTTCATCGCTTCACTCCTTGCCAACGCCGCCTGTATGGCTCGCACGCTTACGTTTTGCATACGCTGTAAGCACTTGCCCGAAGAAATTATGCGGCTGTTTGGCGGGTTCCTTCCGTCAGCCGGTCATGGAACAAGAATTCTGAAGGTCCTGAGATCTGAATGGCGACGGCAAGTGCGTCTCTACAAGGATCTGCTGTGCTCCATTCTTCGGGACCCTGGCAAGCCGGATTCGGACAGCCGACGACTGCGGGAGTTCTTCGGCATCGTGGACCGGTGCACGGAATTCATCTGGCAGCAGTCGCTGACTCGTCTTAGAGGCAGCGTACCCAAGAAACGTCCAGTGGTTACTTGCAACGTCAGGACTGTAAGTGATGTGCAGCTCCCTGAGGACGCTAGACGGGTACTTGCTTTAGGGCCTAAGTTTGCAGTTGAACCGGTTATGAGTGCTCCGGAACTTCTAGGGCTTGTCCGGGATGTCTCTAGGTGCGCTCCAGAGGACGAAATTAAGAGGTGCATATCTGAGGGTGTGGATGCGTTACCCCGTAAAAAACCGGCATCGTCCCGTCTGCCAGTTAGACGTGTCGTCTCTTGGTTAAGGGAACGCCACTTGTCGGTCCTTCCCGCTGATAAAGAAGGGGGTTTTGTTGTTTTAACCGAGGGGGAATTCGGAGGGAAAGCCCTCGATGCTATCACCTCCGTGTTCAATCTACGGCAGGATGTGCCCCTGAAAAAACTGAAGGGAGAGGGGAAGCGTCTTTGTAATAGGTTAAACCTGACCCGCTTGGCTAAAAGCGTTGAAAGTTGCAGAAGTGGTTGTTTACAGATTATGTTCAGTGTGAAAACACATAAGGAAGACTGGCCTTTGAGGGTCATAGTTTCTGAGCATGGCACTTGGCAAAAGTCGATTGCCTTGTGGTTGCAAGATAAACTAAAGATCCTTACCATTGACGACCCGTTTTTAGTCAGGAGCTCTGACGAAGTGGTGGATTTTTTGAAGATGAACGCTGACGTAGGTTTTTTAGCATGTTCATTGGACATTAAAGATCTTTATTACTCCTTACCACATGACAAACTACGAAGTTGCGTTGAGGATTGTATTCAGGGGTATGGGGTTGTGGCTTTTCAAAACGCTGTGGGCGTGACGGTGGATGACTTTTTAGATCTACTCTCGTTTTATCTTAAGTCTACTTTCGCGGAATGGAACAAAGACACGTACCTCCAAAAGGAAGGTATTTGTATCGGCTCATGTCTAGCGCCAATTTTAAGTGACATTTTTTTAGCGTATCATGACAGAGTCCTTTCGGACTGCCTGAGCGATTTTAACGTAAGGAAGTGTTTTAGATTTGTTGATGATTTTTTAGTATTTCTTAACTGCGACTCGACACATTTCCATTCGGTGGTGGATAGTCTTTTAACTGTGTTTAGTGATGCCCTTCATCCCCTGAAACTTACACATGAAGTGCCCGTAGAGGGTGTCATTCGTTTCCTCGACATCAGGCTTACTTTCGTCGAGAATCATGTATGTTGGATGTATCAACCTAGAGCCAACAAGCCCCTGCTGCCTTTTAATTCGTCCCACTCAAAACTGGTTAAGAGAGGGATTGTTAATTTGTGCTTCAAGAACGCCCTTCATAAGTCATGTCACCATGTGACACATTTGAGTGTCCAGGAGCAGTCTGAACGTCTGTTGGCGGCTGGTTACCCGGAGGCTGTACTGGTGTCGGTAGCCGAGGTGATCCTTAAGAGGCTTCGAGCTAAGGGCAACACCCGTCCAGAAGAGGCCAGGAGTAAACAAAGGATTGCAGTCGTGCCTTATATGCACAAGACGGCGCATAACTTAAAGAAAATAGCAAGCCGCATAAACACTAAGGTGGTCTTTTCTGCGCCAGAGAAGCTAGCCAGGCTGAGTCATTTGACGAACCCTTTCCGCAAAGCCTCGCTGGGTTGTGTGATTAGGCACCGAAATCCGTTTGTCGTTTGTGTTGAGGGTGTTGTATATCAGATTCCCTTAACATGCGGTAAGAAATATGTAGGTCAGACTGGGAGATGCCTGAACGATAGGCTCCGAGAACATAGCCTAAACATCAAAAACTATCGGGATGGCCACCTTTCAATGCATTGCCATGACTGCGGGTGCAAGCCTTTGTTTGACTCATGCTCCGTACTCGCTAGACATAAAAATAGAACTGTTAGGGAGATTATCGAAGCAGACGAAATAAAAAGGGCAGGGCTGGGGTGTGTCAGCGTTGCATCTATCGACCTTTTCGATAAGGAGGTGCAGTTCATGCAAGTGGCGGCTAGGCTTGGGGTTGGTTGATTGATAGGATCGAAGCGTGTATATATGCCTCATTTCCATGTTGATTAAATAGTTGCAGTCAGCGCTCGTGTCTGTCTTGTCTTTCTTTCTTTTGTCCTCGTCCAAAAAAGCGCTACCATGCCTTTGGCAACCCAAGATCATTATTTTCGTTAACTTTCTCTGAGAGTCCGTGCAAGATAGGATTGTTTCTGCGGGAGCGGTTTTCAAAGTCGATATTTCTTGAAACGAGCGTATCTACCACATCAGTGAGTGATTTAAACTCAGTGAGAAAATTAACAGCAGGTTCCCCAGAGTCACCAGACTTCTTACTCAAAGTCTCAAGAGCAGCCACACGTGACTCGAGAGCATCAAATCGGGAGTTCACTGAAAGGTGAAATAACTTGATCTCTGCAATATCTTGAGCCAGTTTCCTCTGACCTGCGAGCAATCGAGCAAACATGTTTGCCACCGAGGGCTGGTCGCCAACATCTGCATAGTCGCCATCACTACCACAACCATCTGCAGCCGTCGAGTGCTCAGTAGTCGAATTGTGTCTAGATCGTGTGCTGGGCCCCGGGTTAGCTTGGCTATTCTTGCTCATATTACTCGGTCCTTGGGTTGGTATCGACATCCCCGCTCAAGAGAAGGCTACTCAAGCAATGTACGAATTCAGAGCAAACGTCAACGAAACATAGAAGGTGGCCGTAACCATGTGGGCGAGGAAACAGCAGGAACAAACAACGAAGTCGTGTACGTGTCTTCATTGCATTCATATGTAAATGGTATAGATGTATAGTTGTCGTAAAGATAACAGCTGCGCTGGTCCTCCATCTTCACGTAAAATGAATGGACTCTACAATTTTTTTCTTCTTAGGCAGCGTTTAGAGTTTTAGGCTATTAGCATTCTAACGACTGGCGCTCGTCGCTTCGCCTCTCCTGTGGTTGCTACAGCTTTTGTCACCGCGTAACAAACCAACAAACACACAGTGAGAGCCGTCAATTCTGTTTTACATTAGCTTTTTTTCTTACCAGTATTGTTTGGCGACAAAAAAAAAAAAAAAAAAAAAAAAAACTTTCCAGCCTCTAGGCACAGTCCGATATACTCCGTTCCACCTTATGACGGAGGGCGGCGGACGCTACCAGCCATTGCAGCCGATCCGGCGGTCTGAACGATTCACCAGACTACAGAACCTGCACGCCGCGGCGCCTCTTCCAAAGATCACGGGGCAGTGTACGCCTCCGTGCCGACGTGGACGACGCCAAGTCCTGCTGGACACGCAAGAGAAATTTATTTATATGTTTTATTGTTATTGTAATGTCTTCGCGTCACTCTCGTTTGCTCAGTCAACACTGCGCTGCTAACGCCACCATCGCGAATGGTTATTTGACTTCGCACTGCCACCCGCAAATATAGGCGCGGCTCAGATTTTATCACGCCGAACCGTTTTCCAATGAATCGGTAGCCGCCATACGAAACTACGGTTTCGTTCCGGTTCGGCTTGAATATCGCACGTTCAATTTTGGTCACGGTTTTTTACCGGTTTGGTAAAAAAAGAATAACGGTTTTGCTCGGGTTTTCGGTTCGGGTCCGGATTCGGTTCAACATCCTGGGTATAACGCGCTCGTAAACGGCGAAGGTGGCATTGCTCTATGGAAATATTCTTGGTAAACCTTCTTCCAGTTATCTTATTATACATTGAACATCATGCCAGTGTAAAAAGATACCCGTGAAAGGAGTCAAATTGGAAGCCGATGTCTCACCGCGAGATTTCCGCCTGCAAACCCCTTTCAGCCGAACTGATGCTGTGGTAAATGTTGTATTAGGTTGGGATCAAAGACTGCACCTGTCTGGGGGTCCGGGTGGCCTTGTAGCTGGCCTTGCGTATCATGCGCACGTTCTTGTTGTCGTACACCCGCCGAATAGCGACGAAGGCGAGCTTGATGAGGCGGGTGAACAGCTTGCCCAGGTCAGCGAGCACCATGAGCAGCAGGGGAATGCCGAAGAAGGCGTACGCTATGGTGGCCGCCCGACCCGCGTTCGTGCTCGGAGCGATGTTGCCGTAGCCTGCGAAGAGTCGCCCGTCACCATTGCACGCACCGACGAATGAGTTATTTCGTAAAATTTGCTTGTCGCAGCTCACTGCGCGACTATGGACAGCCTTGGAGCAAGGCTATAGCTGATGAAACAAAGTAAAACAAATAATTTATACGAAGAACGGTCTGGTCCGCTCATTTGCACTAGACAGGGCGCCTACAGCGCTCATGTCATCCCCTGGCGAAGAAGACATCCCGCATCCGAGAGAACGTATCTGCACCCCCCCTTCACGTTTTCGCGCTGCGCCGAGAGAGGGGGCTGCCACCGAACGCACCGAGATACCAGATTCGCCAAGACAGCAGAGACGGCTGTCTCCGATGGCTCGACGGGTTTCCACGACGATAGATGGCGGCAGCCACCCTACCCATTACGCAGAAGAAAATCCCGTGGATGCGCGCGTCCAGCCTTTCCAGCTACACAAAAGCCATCAACAGCAGAAGCCAGGTCGACGTGAATTGTTCCTGGATCTATATAAGACATTTCATAAAGTCCCCCACAATAAGCATCTTTTACAATTGAACGCAGTTCTTAACTCATACAAACTAGTAAAATGTTTAGCCCCCTACCTATAGAAGTGAGAAAATTTAATTTGGAGTTTTGTGTTGTCCGCTCGGTTTTTTCTCCCCGCTCCTGGGTTAGCATGTTACTATTGAACCACCTCGCTTGCACTCTTGCTTTAGAAATATAGTATGTATATTTTAAAGGTTATCAACCTCAGTTCATGCCCGTTGACTCCGGGGTTCCCTCGGGCCATCTCTAGGGACTCTTGCTTTTTCTACCTTACATTAATATTAACTAAAAAAAAAACATACATGTCAACATTAGATTATTCTGGGACGATTGTGTTTTATAAAATGATGTTAAATCTTCTCAAGATAAAACTATCTGAAACAATTGTTTAAAAGGACACTCGCCTGGAGTCGGGATTTCCTAATGAAATTAAATAGCTCAAAACAATGCCAATGTCAATCACGCGTACAAAAACGTACCATGGAGTTCTCGTACACTATTGATGGGCAAATAGTTGAAAAGGTCCAAGAATACAAGTACTTAGGATTAAATTTTTATAACAAATTATTATGAGATGAGCACATTGACTCTTTTCTGACCAAAACAACCCACTGGCTTGGGTCCTTGAAACGTCTCTTGGAGTTTTCTTCATCTAATTCTAATTCACAAAACTAACTGTTTACAAAAATTTATTACGACCTCTTTTAGAATATGCCAAAGTTCTGTGGGACTCATACACGAAAATCAACTCTAGTAAGTTACAAAATGAACGACGAAAAGCGATAAGGTGTATTTCCAACAAATATGAGGTGCTGAGTTCGCACTTAGCATGAGTGTGGCAGGCACACTTGCCCGAGCTGAGTAAAAGAGCGCGGGTGCACAGACTGGAAGTTTCATTCTAAACGAGTTACAAAACGTATCAGCTTTTCAAGAAGCTTAAACACGCGCCTTGTCATGCGCGTTTGTTACTACAGTGTTCGGTAAACTGGGTTTTATTTTGTTACAAGTGCAAATCTGTATTCGTGTCGCCATTGATTTTTTTCCAATATTTCATCGATGTTATGCTGCGCCTTCCCTACCACAGTTCCGCTTGAACAAAGTAGTAATACTAAATAAATAAAAAAATATTGCTTTCTGATATGAGCCCTGGTATACTGCTTACAACACTGACTAGAATGGAAATAAAACCGCAAAAACTTCACTTGCCAGTATCAATGGGTCATCGGATACAATCTGAATAATGCGTATAGGCCAAAGAAGTACCACTTGCAGATCATGAGCCGTTAGTGATATAATGACGAACATTTATTTTTTTTTTCTCTTTTTTTAATGCACGGAATGAGCAGGAAGTTGCAACCAATTAAAGGGTAACTGCGGTACATTTCTTTCGATTTGAGGGTTACGACTGCTTTTAGCGAAGGAAGTGTCCCTAAATTACAATGTGCCAGTTTTGTTTCGATGCCTTGTGTAGTTTTGTAGATGTTCTATCTCAAACGCTTGATTCGAAAGTAAACGGAGAAACTGAAACTACCGGCTCAAGCATGATGGCAACCCATGTGATCAGCTGCATGGTCATCGTGTGACGCAAAGTATGAGTTGCAGTACCGCGAAACGTGCGATTTTACGTTTTGCGCTCAGCTCCGACCAGCCACGTGTGATTCTGCGGCTGTTTTACTGCTTTGTTTTGCAAATATAAAACATCTCTATATTCATAAAGTTGCCGACCTAAAAGTTGCCGACCTAAAAGTTGCCGACCTAAAAGTTTGCCACGATGAACGCAGGCTCCATAACGAGCCCCCACATATCTTTTCAGAAAAGCTACAATCTTGGTGGTGTAGAATGCACGTTGCAGAAGTGTTGTGGAAGCTAATCGTAAGCTCGCGTTGAGCAGTAACTCACTAAACTATTTCCGCCAGTGAATGCCACCTTCGAGCGAGCAGGGAGTCAATATATTGACTCCCTGCCCTGCTCTCTGTTGTTCCGAGCTGGTGTGCACAAACGTGAAAACAGCGCTTTGTCTGTGCACTTCTTTCACTTGCCCTTTGTTCAATTCTTTGCGCTGTTTTCACGTTTGACGATGTTAAACCAACTAACCCAACTTACCGCCTTGTCAAACATTTATTCCTATACTTCGTTTCACCTTATCTGCGAGCGAAGCCAAAGCTAAAAGCGCGAGACCAGCGCTTTTTGCGTTTCTCTCCAGCTCGCGCGCTCGAGCAAAGCCTGAACGCACGGAGATTTCGCGCTCGCGCTTCCAGCTTTGCCTTCGCTCGCACATAAGGTGAAACGAAGTATAGTCTGAAATTGTTTCAGCATTTCAGACACTTTAGCGCACGACATGCAGTTCCGTTATCTTATAAGTGTGGGCATCAAGTCTCATTTGTGAAGTCCCCGAACAATGCCGTGGTTCTTACTGTTCGTCTACTTGTTAGGGTGTTGCCAACATTCCTCTTTCCAATACTCCTTGTGCTGCTCTGTTGGCATTATGTTTGGTCCATGGTGGAAGAAACGCATTTAGGTTATGCCAGTCGCCGCTCTTCCCGCGGGGAGGGAGCGAAGAGATCGTGTTCGGAGCTAGCCTCGAACCAGGAGTGGTTAGTTCCGCTCCGCCGCGGAGGGCGCTGCGGTATGGGGTTCCTCCTCGGCAGCCACGGTGTTGGCGGCGGTGGGGTGGTGTGGTGGTGGTGTGTGGCCACTGGCCAGTGGCTGGCCTTGTTTTTTTTCCTTTGGTGCTGTGCCGATCACGGGTGCCAACATCATGCACGAAGGTGAGTTTTATCTCGAAGAAGAAAAATCCATGTATAAGGATGGGAAAGGAGTGCTTCGTTCAAAACTGAAATTCGGGGTAGCGGAATTGCACAGAGCGAGTGCCCTTGTTTACGGCTCCATCGAATGACGCTCGCCTGGAGAAGTGGTGGAAGAAATGCGGTTTGGGAGGGACCCCATACTTAGGCGCCATCTATCCCCGTGCGAGTGAAGCTTGGAGCACGGTGGAAGAAACACGGTTTGGGAGGGACCCCATACTTGGGCGCCATCTATCCCCGTGCGAGTGAAGCGCGCTCGGTACCCGAACATAATCTGGCCGGCGCGTCGGACGGAGAGTCATCACCTTAATGTGTTTGTTCCACCGTGGTTTGGTCGTAGTTATCCGTGGGCATAACTCGACTTGGAATGTAGAGCGTGCTGGTGAAGATAATATAAATCTCACTTTCACCAGTTCGTTGGGCTCCTTCCATCTCCCCCCCCCCCCCCTTTTTTTTTTTCCCCCTCAATTCTCTATGCTTTTCCTTTCTCTTCCCGATAGCGCGTCCCTCACCCCCCTCCTTCTTCGGGAGAAAGTTCCCGGCCCGTCGGAGTGTCATTAAACGTTTGTTGCCAGTTGGGAAATCGCCTTGTCCGTCCTTTTGTTTTGTGTTCTTCCCATTATTTATATTATATCTGTACGATTATTTCATTCGGGATATTTGTTTAGTCTGCTAACTCGAGTCGTTTGGGATTTCCTTCTTAATAAACAGAATGAGTGGCAGCGCCAGTAGCCTTTGAAAAACATCTTGCGCACTTCTTATCGCACTTTTTAAAAGATCGTATTGGGTTTTAATACAGCGTCGTAAGGTGCACGCCTGCGGCGGATGAATTCCAACATCTGCGGTAGGCGTGGACGCGGTGCCTTTCTATTTTGGGTAATCACGCGCTTCGGAAGAAACAGAGTGCGGGCGATTTGCCCTATTTTCGTCTTCCGTTTGCTCCGTGTGGCTCGCTTTGTTTGGGATCGAAGGGGCCCGGCGAACGCTGCTCTTTTTCGGGCACCCTCCATTCTTTCGTTCTCAGAGGCCGTTCTCATGTTTTGAGCGAGGCCCGTGGAACACGTCCGCGCCAGGGTCTCGGGGCGGACGCTTGTTTTCCCCGTACTGAAACAAGGACGGCCAAGGGAGGAGAGAGAGAAAGGGAAGTGCGCAATGACGTCATAGGTAGTGTCAGCACTCGGGGGTAATAACGGCAGGCAAAAATAGTGCTTCGTTGCCTCCGTATTCACGACCTATGCTCTGGACCACGGTGGAAGACGAGAGAGGTGTTTGAACGGCGCCGCCTCGCCACGGAGCAAGAGTGTCGAAGAACGCTCCCAGTTCTGACAAACGCCGTGAGATGGCGCTGCATGACAGGAGCTCGATGAACCGTCCTTATTCGCACACACGTTTTCAAGGCCGCGAGGTGCGCGACCACGACTGCGCGCCGAGCCCCAACCCGGCAGTGCCCCGCCGGGAGTTGCGCGAAGCCCGAGTGGAACTTCGATCCCCTTTCTGGCCTTGTCCGATTTCCTTGACTATTCTTTGCTTCGACCTGTGTACCAAATGTCACCAGGGACCCCGGGGTCAGATTTTGGTAATCGCGAGAAAGATCTAATGCAGGGGACAGATGAGCGATGACGGGCGCCACGCGGTAATTTTTGTAGCAACTTCCGT